GAAGGGCTGCTTATGCACAGGGAGACAGCCCAGGGGACAGGAGTACATGGAGGGATGGACACAGGGAAGAGGTAACTATCGGGAGGAAGTACGAGGGGAGATGTTGCATTGTGGTAAATTGTGGTCAATGTCATGAGACAAAGTGTATGTGAACTGCTGTCTGGAAAGTGAATTTGCTCTGTAAATTTTCACCCAAATCACAATTTAAAAAAAAAAAAAGTGAATGCTATTAAAAATAAGTAGTCAATGATGATGTTGTTGTTGGTAGCTGTTGATTCGACTCCAACTCATGGTGACCTTATGTACAACAGAACAAAATGTTGCCCAGTCTTGGACCATCTTCATGATCATAGGTGTATTTCAGTTCATTGTTGCAGCTACTGCATCACACAATAGTTGGTGATAGATGGCTGTCATTTCTACCTATCTCAGTTGATTTATGATTGGTTTTAAGTTTTATTTTCATTTAGGGGAAAAAATGGCAGCCTAAAGACAGCCACTGCCTGTTTCTGATATTAACCTCCTACCTTACAGAGATGTTCCTCCAAGAAAGGACATAGCCTAGGCATTCGGTAACCATGACTTAAGACAATCACTGATAAAAACAGGTGAACATCAAAAAAGCATAGATCTGGCAAAGACAATTGAGTTTGTTGTGGTCCTGTCCCCAAAATCAAAGTGATCACATTTCTCCCATTTTCATAGAAAATGAAATGGTAACTAGATCTAGAAGGGCCAGAATTACAGGCTTAGAGACTTAAAGAAACCAAGGCAGGCATAATGAGCAGTAGGTCCCACCCTAAAACCAGCCCACATTCCAGAAAGATATTATCACCGATCTCTCCTTTATTTCCATATCTATCTTCCTGGGCATACATGCCTGGGAAATTTAAGATGTTTAGGAATTTTGCCCTAGTAGTATAGAAACCCTATGGGTTAAATACACATAGGGAAGGGTTGGGGACATGAACATGCTGTTAAGTGCTATCAAGTTGGCTCCAACTCATAGTGGCCTTAGGTGCTATCGAGTCGGATCTGACTCATGGCGACCCTGTGTACAACAGAACGAAACACCGCCATCCTCACAATCGGTGCTATGCTGGAGCCAGTCATTGCAGCCACTGTGTCAGTACGTCTGCTTGACGGTCTGCCTCTTTTTTGTTGACTCTCCACTTTACTAAGCATGATGACCTTCTCCAGGGAATGGTCCCCTCTAATAACATGACCAGGAGCTCTGGTGGCATAGTGCCTAAGGTATTTGACTGCTAACCAGAAGCCTGGTGGTTCAAACTCACCAACCACTCCTCGGCATGAGAAACAAAGTCTGGCCATTCTCACTTCTAAGGGGCATTCCTTGTAAGGACATGAACATTAAAACAAAGCAAAACACCTCATTGTCAGCAAGTCGATTCCGAATCATAGCAATGCTATAGGACAGAGTAGAACTACCCCATATGGTTTCCAAGGCTGTAATTCCTTATGGAAGCATGCTGCCACATCTTTCTCCTGCCGAGTGGCTGGTGGGTTTGAACTGCTGACCTTCTGGTTAGCAGCTGAATGGTTTAAGCAGTGCACCACTAGAGCTCCTTACATGAACATAAAAGCTCCAAACCAAACTCACTGCCACTGAGTCAATTACGACTCATAGCAACCCTCACTATGTTTCTAAGGCTATAAATCTTTACAGAAGCAGACTGCTTCATCTTTCTTTCATGGAGCAGCTGGTGGGTT